GGAAATTGTTTATATCATTCTATTGTTGTTCTGATGAACAATCCACTGGTGACAGCTAGTGAATTGCGAGGTATAAAATTTTATTTCTTCTATGTTATACTAAATTTATTTTTAAAATACTTTTAGTTCGAACAATAATGGAACTTATAGCTAATGAAAATTATTATCAAACTACGTATTCACAATATGTAGGACCTACCGATATTGCTATTAAGGCTATTTGCAAAAATTATATGTTTTCTGAATTATATGAAATTGCCGCTTTATGTAATGTACTTCAATGTAACATACGAAGTGTCTATCCAAAAATTGATTTTCATCATTATATGGCAATTTGGGATAACCTCTTTACACCTATTCCACCTGTTCATTCCAATTGTAACATTGCGATTTTATGGTCAAATGTCTTGAATGAAAAAGATGTTCGAGAAACACACAATGGCATGTGGAGACCAAATCATTTTGTTCCACTTATGTCACTACCTATTCGTAATGAACTTAATAACACCAGTCAATCAGCATTACTTGTTGTGGTAAGTTAACGATCTGTGAACAGAAAACCAAGAATTTTGAAACTTTCATTTAGACTCCTGAAAAGAAGACTTTCAAAAATAATACTGTTACTCAAATAAGGACTCCAAGATTTCAATCTTCTCCTAGTAGACGCTTACGAAGTGAAGACAACATCGGAAATGATTTTACTCAACCATATATTTCAGGTTCAATGCAAAAGGAAAAGAATGATAAAGAAGAACGACGTCAGATTCAACTTCAAAAGAAAATGGAACGAAGTCGATCTAGTCGAATGAATGAAACAGAAGAACAACGTCAAATTCGACTTCAGAAGGAGAGAGAAAGAAGTCGATCCAGTCGAATGAATGAAACAGAAGAACAAAGGGAAATTCGTCTTGAAAAGAAAAAAGAACAAACTCAATCCACCCGTACAAATGAATTGGAAGAGCAACGTCAGATTCGACTTGAACAACAAAAGAAACGAAGTCAAGTATATAGAACTAAAAAGAAAGTTGAAAAGCAGAGCAATGAAAATATTAGTACTGGACAAAATTCCACTCATTCTACTTGGCCTGGACCAATTAGTCGCGATTTAAAAGACACTCGGTTGCAACAATTTTTAGAACAGATGGCCATGTCAAAATTGGCTGAAGCTACTTGTGCAGTTTGCAATATCTGTACTTCAGCAAAAGATGCGAAGAAAATTTCAATCTCAAAAATTCCTAATATTGATTTACTTAAAGTTTCTGAAGAACTCAAAAATCTAATTAGAAATTCAACCGAAAATACTTCCATCTTCAATGGTAATGATAATAACGGACAGACGACAACACAGATTAAAAGTATAGTATAAGATTAGATTGATTTAAGAATTTATACAGCATTGTCCATTCTAGACCATTCAGCTTCTAATTCATCATCTTTTTACTGTCATAATAACATTTTCTTATACAAAAATGGCTTATTTCAAACAAACAGAATGAATATGTGTGTTATTTGTCAAAAATGTCACAGTTCTCTTTCAAAGGAACATATACCGAAGTTTTCAGCTGCGAATAACATGTGGTTAGGTGATATACCTACCGAATTGCAAGGGTTGACGATTCCAGAAGAAAAATTAATATCACTCTATCGTCACAATAGCTGTATAATAAAACTTCAATCACCGTTTCATTCAACTAAAACTGCTCAAACAGCATTGAAAGGAAATTGTATTACCTTCCTTCAAAATGTACCAAATATTGTCAATAGTTTACCACTTACACTTGCTGATCTTTGTGATACACTTAAAGTAATTTTTATTGGAGCTCGGCCACCTGATCGTCTTCATCTTAAAAAAGTTTTAACAGTACGGAAGAAGAGAATTGTTCAGGCATTACAATGGCTAAAAAAATATAATATACTTTATCAAAACATCAACATAAATCTTGAAAATATTGCTGAATTACTAGAAGATGATGTACCCGAATGCATCATGTCAACTTTAGAACAAAAGATAGGTGATGAAGAAGGTCAATCTGAAAGAACTGGATCTGTTCCTGATCCATTAATGAATCCAAAAGAATGCACTACTGCAGATGTCATACCTATCAGTAACAGGTAAGAGTATTTAATAAATCAATGAATTCATATAGCTTCGTTATTTTAGTGGTGTTCTTGATGTTAACGGCTCATCAGTATCATCAGATGAGATTGTTAATTACTTTTTACACAAAATAAAAACAAATGATCAAGAAGTTACTGAAAACGTTTACTTAATTCCACATTCATCGAAACCTGTCAATGAATATTTCAATCCAAAATTATTAACTGGTTTATATCCAACTTTATTCTGTTATGGACGAGGAGCACCTGAAGATCAATCACGTCCAATTGAAATCAAATTTAAAGAACATATACGTTATCTATTATCTTACAATGATCGTCGCTTTGAAACAAATCATAGTTTCATATTTGTAGTTTTTAACTTATTACAACGACGTGATGCTTGTTTTCATGCTCAATTAATCGCAACAAAACCTTATTTTCAAGCATCAGCTAATGAAATTCAATCAATTAATAGCAAAGATATTGAAATGGCTCTGGATAACAATTTCAAAAGAACATACAATACAGAAGCAAATAGTGCATTAAATAAACTTCTACGACATATTAAAACTGTCGGTGGCCGAGTTATGGGATCAACATATTCAAGAACAGCTTTACGTACTCGTATACATGCACTTATTTTTAATCAAGGTTTACCTAGTATATTTCTTACAATAAATCCAGCCGATATTCATAGTCCTGTAGCATTATATTTTGCTGGTGTTCAACTCAATCTTGATAAAATTCAAAATGAACAACTTATGGACACTTATAGAAGAGCTGAAATTATAGCATCTCATCCAGTTGCTACTGCCAAATTTTTCCATGTATTGATCAGCAATATCTTAGATAGTATGATAATGGGTGGAGTTCTTGGACCAGTAAAGGCTTACTTCGGTACTGTTGAGAGTCAAGGTCGAGGTTCACTTCATTTACATCTTCTTATTTGGCTTGATCATGACATGAAACCAGCTGATATGAAAGAAAAAATTCAAGATGCCACCTTTCGTAATAAGTTGAAAGCATATTTAGAAGATATTATCAAAGACGATTTAGATGATTTCAAAGATAAACAAGTGATCGAATCTTCTAATGGTATGAAATATGTTTATCTTATTCCACCATCCATTTTTTCTTTATTTATAATAGGACCGGAGTCATTAAACACTTCCGCCCAATTATCACAAAACAATATTTACACCGCTTTACGTACTATTGATCTGACAGGCTTCACGGAAAATACTCATCAATCGCCTACTTTGTCAACACCGGCCAAACAACATCTATCTTCTTTATCAATTCCTTACAAGTCTCCGTCGATTCTATTTGGATCACCATCAATTCCTTATAGATCTCCAGTATCGAGTCCATTAGTACAAACACCAACACTTGTTGGAGCTGTATTCGGTAGGATAGACTTCTATTTGATAAAAAATTATTTAAACTTTTTAGATATGAATGTGTTATCTAATCAATCAAATTTACCCCCAGCCTGCTTACCCACTCCAAATCCATCATCGCCTAATTTTAAATCAAGATTTCGTGCACATGTAGTACAAGTTGTTGAATCGGGCAAT